ATGAGACATGATTCCCACCAATATATTAGCGAGTTTCAAATCGGTTGCAATTGTGCCCGCAAAATCATTGATTTGTAAGAGAGACCATAACATTCTGACATTTTCGTGGTTTTCTTGTGTGGCTGCAATTATTGCGAGAATAGATAATTTTTTCACTCCGGAATCCTTGAATCTTTTTGCCGCTACGCCCGCTATATATTTTTGTCGATTATCTATTACAGCAGAATCAGGTTCTTGCACTGAAAGGCAAATCTTGAGAAACCCTCCTCCACCATCAATTCCAAACTTCAAATGAGGATTATCATTGTTTCGAGTTCCTTTTATATAAGCGATTAAGGCCGCAACATCTGTACAATATGCCAATACCAATATTTCTGTAGAGGTCGTTTTCTCGCCAGCTTTGGACGTCATTATGGGGCAACTTTTGAAACTAAAAAATGCATCTAGCCTGTGGCGGTATGTAGATAGTTTCGTCTTCAGATGGGGTTCAAACAGGTTTCTTTTTTGGGAGCCAACCCGTAAGTCCCTCGCTATTCCCTGAACTACGTTGCTGGAGAGACCGTAATTTGTGGCTATTTTACAAACATCTCCTGCAGAAATCTGTTGCGGGCCTATAGTTTGATTATTTCGTTTCGGGGTGATTTTAATGTTGAGTGCCCTTCCGTGGATCTGGGATAATGTAACGGTTTTGTTCCCCGAGCTGGGCCCAGCTCCCATGGGAGTATTAGTATTTAAAGATATGTCCTTTATCAAAGAACATGCCAAATGTTCTCTCTGTTTCGGGGGAAGCAAGTTACTTAAATGTTCTTGGTAACTCGGGAAGTGTTTGTCTGGGCTACAAAAATGTTTTTTCCCTACCGAATAAGTTTCCCCACATTTTCTGCACTTGTTGCTTCTCTTCTTTTTGTTCTTGGCGGGTTTTTTGGTGAAGTTATATGGCCCTGGATCTCGTACCAATTCACACAATGTGCAACTGCACAAAGCTTGAGTTTTTGCCCGAGTATTCTTCCCCAAAATTTTAAATTCTGTATAGTCCGGGAGAGCTATTTCCCCGATATTTCCACACTTCACTGACCGATATACGATAATTTTGCAAGCGTTACATAAAACATTGGGAAGAAGTTCATCTTGTTCAGCATAATTCACACATTTTTTTAGATTCACATATAAACTACCACTGATTTTGACCATTTGTTTCTTCTTCTGCAGGCAGAGAAAACATATCCGCTCCCGATTTTCTTGATGGGTTCCTGCATGATCCTTTGATCTTTTGCACGGAGAGAAAAATTTTGCTAAAACAACTATCCAAAGTATTGTTAAATGACGTATCGTGAATTTAGTCAACTGTTTTATTAAACTGAGGATTTGTATGGCTAAATCAGCTATACAGATCCTCAGTTTAATAAAACAGTTGACTAAATTCACGATACGTCATTTAACAATACTTTGGATAGTTATTTTGGCAAAATTTTTCTCTCCGTGTGTCCATACTTTCACAAGAAATTGAAATTTCGAAGAGAATAATAATTATTACAACTTCAACAGTTACTGTCACACGTCAAACGTCATTGTCGCTAAATTATGGAAGTCTGGCAACTAAAAGTGAGTGAAAGGTAGAAAAATCCCGATATCTCGAACAGTGAATTTTTCTCCATTGCAAAAGGGTGTTTTTTCGAAAACGGCTCTAAGGATTACGGTAGATTTTTCTTTCTGGCTTTCTTATGACTCCAGGAATCGAATGCCGAAAGAAAATCGGAGGTGCTAAACCTTCGCATTTAAGTCATATTCAAGCCCACCGTGAGTTATATTTAGTGAGAAAATATAATGAATTTTAGGAATTAAAAAATTTGTCAGATTGACATTTAAAATTAAAATGTGCTTTAAAATATAAAAAGACTTTAATAAACCTTATTTATTCAAACTTACCTTAATTTCATTATCGTTTACACCAACCCATCGATCTTTTAGAGTTTATAATTCATTATTTTATTGATATATATCAAATACAGAATTTAAATGACAACAGATGTTAAATCAAAAAAAGTGTCAAAATTCTTAGTAACGTGTAAACAAGATGATAAAAATTATTGCCGCTGTGATAAAATACGTCACTATGGAATACTGGCATTTTATTGGTTCCAATATTAATGAATTGTATTGTCATTAAAATAAAAATTATAATCATTAAAATTTTTGTAATAAAAAAAGTTGTAGCCCCAAAGTAAAAAAAAATGGCTTTGCTCGTGCCTGATTAAAATTCGTGACTAAAATTTTGTTTATTAAATACTTAAGGAATATTAATTATTTAAAATTTATATATGCCGTTGTTTTAAAGATTTTGGTTTTTTTCTTATAAATATATAAAACGGATAGTTTGTTTATTTAAACTTTATTTACGTTTACCTAAAAATAAGAATATTTTAATTCTTAATAATAGTTTTATAAAAACATGCAAAAAAGTATAGTAACTGGACATTTTATATAGTAATTGAACACATGGACAAATAACATAAATTGTTAAATATTTTTTAAAGATAAATTGCTGTTTTAGGTAATTTTTTTTATTTCGTTTTTGTAAATATCATATAATTTATATATTTCTTTCTCGGATTCCTCATCCCTTTTTTGGATTCTGAAGGTAACCACTAATTCCTTGGTCTGACTTCTATAATAATTTGTTGCAAATATTATCAAGTTTGGTATCCCTAGTTTGTGAAGCATTTATAATGTTTACGCCGGAATCTAATATTTTTTCGGGTGGTATGTTAGAAGTATTTTCCCAATTTATTAATTTTGTTGCCATTAGTTTTGTATGTTCTCTATCATGCACTGTATTTAAATCACTGTTATTCTGCACGATGTCCTGTGATGAAGAAATAACTATATTACTTAAGTAATTACTTTCTAAAAATGAATTAGTCAAAAATATCATAGCGAAAAGGCAGCCACTAATAATTCTCGTCAACAGCAATTTGATCCTGGACATATAGCAGTCAATTCCTATGAAATATTATTTGCTGAATCCGAAAATGTCGTCAAAAGTTATAAAAGTAGGACAGTTTTTACATATAATATGGAATTGACTATATCTCAAAAACTGCTTAAATTTTATAGTTTTTGACGGTCTTTTCGGATTCAGGGGACATGAGAATTGGCTGGTAAATGTCCGGAATACAAATAGAGTATAATATTGGACATATGTCCAATAATAGAAATTTACTTTTTTTACCACCAGTAGTTGGACAATGGGACTGTTTGTTTTCAGAATTAAAATTAAAACGCATTAAAGTGACAATGTTTAAACCATAAGGAACACATTTATACCACACACTGATCTGTACACTTTTTAGAAATATTTTTTATTGTAATTTAAACACAGCCCTGCTATTAACAAAAAAACAAAAATCTTATCACCAAAGTAACGTGCGAACTGTTTTGTTCTAAATTGGACCCAAAATAAAGTAGTTCTATATTATTACTGACTGAGATAGTTATAATTGTATACAGCGTCATCTAATGATTTGACTTTAAGGTAACTATTTATTGAACTCTTGTTTTTACAGTATTAATGTTAATTTTCCAATGACTGTCTACTTTACCCTATTTAATTTTTCATTAAGATAGCCAGTTTAGACAACAAGTATATTTATTCGAAAAAAATTGTTGATGTAATTTTTAGTTAAAGTTTTTATTTACTCATTTGTTCTTGGCTTAGTTGATTTAAATTGTAAAATTAATTAAATTATAGTATTAACCTACTTTTTAATTTTAAGTAACATTTAAATTATTTAATAGGATTTTTGTTAAAAATGGCGAATGCGCCGGGATTAATAGTTAAATAGTGCACATGGACTAAAAACATGTCGAGGATATAAAGTATACTACTTTTTTACGTCAAATTGATAGATCCCTATTTAAGGAGTACCAAGAGGGCAATATCAACTTTCAAATGAAAAGGGGGCTTGTGATACCTTATTCGAACGGTATTTCGATTCTCTATTCGATGCTACTAATAATAAACTAATAAATTTTCTTGCCGCCCTAGGCAGCTACCTACGTTGCCTGGTAAATTTTCTTTATTATGTTGGTATACATGCCCCCGAAGTATGATAAAAACTTTAGCTGTTTTCATCGTTTACTTTGTCTGTGGCAGCCGCTAAGGTTAGACGTGTTTTATGAGCTCGGCGATTTTAGTTCGTTAAAAGATAATGGATCAAAGAAATTTGTATCCAGTTTTGCTTAAAAAATAAATAATAAATAAATTCTGTGAAATGTTAAGAAAGGCCTAGAGCGAGTCTGCTATAAGTAAAACAAGAGTTTACAAGTGGTATAAGAGTTTCCAAAATGGCCGTGAAGATGGTGAAGACGACGAACGCCCCGAACGCCCAAGCACATTAACAACCGATAAAAACATGGAAAAAGTGGAAGAAATAGTTATAAACCATCAGAAAAGTCGCTGATGATGTTGGTATATCGATTGGCTCATCTCATGAAATTTTTGTCCAAAAACAATACTGTAATGATGCCCCAGCCTCCATATTCGCCAGACATGCCTGTCTGACTTTTTCCTACTCCCAAAAATAAAGAGGACCTTAAAGGGCCGTCGTTTTGCAAGCATAGATGACATTAAAAGCGCATCGCTGAAAGAACTAAAGGCTATCCCAAAGATCGAGTTTTAGAAGTGTTTCGAGTATTGGAAGAAGAGCTGGCACATGTGCATAATATCCAATGGGGACTATTTTAAAGGTGACAACATTAATGTAGACAAATAAATAAATATTTTTATCAAAAAACGAAAATTCCCGATATTTTCTGAACACACCTCGTTGTATATATTTATATATATATATATTTATAAATGAATAATTTGTCATCAGATATTTATTAATAATCTTTGCGGTTTTCTTTGTTTTACTTTACTTACTTTATCATTTTCGGTTTCCACGTTAACTGAGTATTTATTAACGATATTGAAAGCAATTTAGGTATTTCATTAAAAGATTAAAATGTTTAAAATTTTAACTCTTCTTTGTGTAATGTTTTATTATTCATGTTCTTGTAAGCAACAATTGTATGAAGACAAAAATTCGTTTGGTATGTTAGTTTTCATTTTACAAAAAATATTTGGTTTCAATATTTAAAACATGTTGCATTTATTAACTGCTTTTTAAAATTATTTTTTATAAATAATCCCTTTTAGAATATCGTCAAAAATACTTTAAATGGCCGTTATCGCAGACATGTTTGGACTGCATTTGGAAATATTTTGGGGCTAAAGAAGGCAACGAATTAAATGGCGGACCTTTTTTTATTTCTAAATATTATTGGAGTGACGCAAATTCCCCAACTGTCAATAACGAGAATCCAAAGGATAAAAATGCATACAAAAATTGCGTAAGAAATGTTTATTGCTCTATGGTCACCATGCAAAATTACATGAATAGATACAAACAGGTATGTACGATCTATTTATTTATTTTTTACAGTCAATACAACTAACCAAATAGTTATTGGAATAAAATGTATTAAAAATTTATATATGCCGTTGTTTTAAAGATTTTGGTTTTTTTCTTATAAATATATAAAAAGGATAGTTTCTTTGTTTAAACTTTATTTACGTTTACCTAAAAATAAGAATATTTTAATTTTTAATAATAGTTTTATAACAATAGTAGTAATTGAACATTTTATATAGTAATTGGAGACATAGACCATAGCTATTGGACACCTTTACAACAAATAACATAAATTGTTAAATATTTTTAAAAGATAAATTGCTGTTTTATATAGGTAATTTTTTTATTTCGATTTTGTAAATATCATATAATTCATATATTTCTTTCCCGGATTCCTCATCCCTTTTCTGGATTCTGAAGGTAACTACTAATTCCTTGGTCTGACTTCTGAAATAAACTGCGCACCACTCAATGTGTCGCGACCAAAAATTTCGTCCTTTTTCAAAACGACATAACTTTTTTGTTTCTTAAACGATTTTATTTTGGTTTGTGATGTCTGCTAGCCCCATTCTCTGGCAATTCATGCTATAGATATGAAGCTAACGGTTCTTCAAGTAAATTTACTACAGGGTGATATGTAAAACAGTGAAAAATTTCAATAACTTCATCCAAGCCCCGTTTGTAAAATAAATATTTTTTTCTCGTTTTTACTTTGAAATAATGAAGTGTTATCAGTGCCGGTTTAACAGGGGTTTTTTGGGGACTATAGCACCGGGCGGTAAATATTTTTGGGGCGGTACCGCGTACCGCCCATAATTTAAAAAAAAATACTTAATCGTTAGAATTTAGAAAAAAAAATTATTGCGACACTGCGTCGGCGGATACAACGGATACAAATGAGAAAAATGTTGTTAGAGTTAAAGCAGCTTCTCCATCAGAAAAACTTGATTTATTGGAAACGGAATAATTTGAACTTTTTGGATAGACGTTTTGCAAAGTGTTAATGAAACCAATAAAGCAGTCCAAAAACAAAATATGGATTTAAGCACAAATGCTCATCTTTTGTCATTTTTAGTTGAGAACTTTGATTTTTTACGTGATATCATTTTGATCATTACGAGGAAATTAACAGGAAACGAAAATTATGCTCAGAAGCGGATAATCATAAGAAAATTACAATTTGAAGAAAATAATTCAGAGGCAAGTTTAAGCAAAAAAGAAACAATGCGAACAATATGTTTTATTTTAATAATTGACAATCTATAATCCGAAATCATTTGTCGATATGATAGCTAGAAATCTGGCACAAACAAATTTGAATTTTTGTTTAATCTAAAAGCATAAATCTTCGTGGAGGATTTGGATGAGTTTTTTTCTCAAAAATGTGTCCAACTCAAGAAACTGGTAACTTCCCTTTCGGAAATAAAAATAGAAACTCCATTGGAATTAGTATACTAATATACTTATATATAAGTTTTATACGAAAATAAATTAATATCTTCATTTCCGAATATTAATAATTGTCTGCGAATTTTTTTTTATAATGGTTTCAAATGCCAGTGGTGAACGATCTTTTTCTGCTCTAAAAAGGGTAAAGAACTACCTAAGAAATACAATTCCCCAAGAAAGATTAATTAAGGTCTTGATAAATGGACAGAATTGCTAAGGCCCGTTATTTCCAATGCGAGTAAACTTTCGTGTTAGTAAACCTAGGATTAACTTAAATTCGAAGTTAACTTGAAGTAATGTTGTTATGGGTTTTTCCAAAGATTTTGCTACCCGAGTTTAGTAACTCTAAGTTAAGAAGTTTATCTTTATGTTGGTACCCGTGATTCCATTATTAATCTATGGATTTTATTTAAATTTGGGGAACCATTTATGGACGCTCTGATAAAGTGAGTTTTTAAAGGTGTCTACGCAGTGCGTTGTTAATTGGGTTGGATTAGATAGTTTGAATGTTTGTGTAAAAGCTTAAATTAAATTTTGGGTAAAGTATTATCAGCAAAAATGAGTGAGATTGAGAAAATAAGTCCAGATTGAGACCAACCAATTTTAGTAAAATAGAAGATCAGTTGCTGCTTAATCTGGTTCATCGAATGTAAAAAAAAGTGGGAAGTTTACTTGGAAGCAGAAAGATGATGCTTGGGAACGTACCGTAAAACGGGGCGATTTCGGACAGCCGGGGCCACTTCGGACATCAGTACCTTAAAGCTATTATAAATTCGCGATTGGGACGTCTGACGTAACAGAGTTCTGTAATTCGGGAAAAAACTTCGTCGAAGATGGCTAAAGCTATGGCAAGAGGCACGTGGGTTCGATTGTTAAGTGAAATAAGCTTTTTGCATCGTTTAGTCTAGAGTTCAAACTTTACTTCTTTTATAACTAGGTAAAAGTAACTGGTGCCAGCAATTAAGTATGCACAGTATGATCAAAATAATATAGATTTTCGGTAGTACGTAATTTTGTGGATAAATTATTTTTTTTGGTTTACGTTCGTATCACATTAACTTTTATACAGGGTTGTAAAACAAATATTTGCATTTTAGGGGGCGACTTCGGACATGGTTAGGGTCTATAAAAAAATGTTGGAGAGCAATTTTTACAGAAACTATACGGAGGACAATTTTTTTTAATATACTAGTATTAGGTATAAGAAGAAATATATTTGTTTTATTGTTTTGATCCTCAGAATTCAATTTTATTTTATATTTTGATAAATAAAATGCCCTTTTCCATTTAAATGAGTTTTTACCTAATTTCATGCTATTTTTTCCTAATTTTATGCTTTTTACTTTTTTTTAAAGCAATATTTCTGTCCGAAGTCGCCACTGAATGTGCTAGCTTCGATTATATACATTTTACAACACTTGTCCGAAATCGCCCCACCTTAAGGGGTGACTTCGGACAGACTTTGACAAAAAAAAGTAGTATTAATATTTGTATGACTATTATAATTTTTACGTAAACTTATACCGGAAGGATGCCAAAATCCCCTGTAAAAAATTTAGTTCAAAATAACAAACATTACCGATTCAAAATTTGAAAAAACCTTAAAAATCGTCCGAAGTCACCCCGTTTAACGCCACGAGCCCTGTTCGAGTATTACGAGATTAAAAAGGCCTAATAAATAAGTATAAAAATCTCAAAAAAATATAAAAAGTCAAAATTATGGCAAACAGGAACATTATAAGACAAACTGGGGGATGTTCTGGTAAAATACGGACGAAATAGGCTAAACAGTGAAAGAAATATTAGGTGATCAAATATATGGTTTAACTGCCCTTTTCAAATGCGATCAAGATGAGTCAGTCCGTATGAAGAACATGGAAAATGAACTCACTAATTTGGAGCATGTTAAAGTTTTCTTTAGGTACAAATCGCAGCAATAATGCCAAGTTTTGTTGGGTTTCAAAGGGAAGAACATGAATTAAATATGAAAATTAAAAAAAATTAAAAAGCTGCAGTGGCAACAAAAAAAGATTTTTAGAATTATAATATTCGATTAGCTGTGTTTCTAATAAATCAACATTTGGTTAAGTTAATTCACAATGTCTGGGTTAACTTGTACCTGAGCTTCGAGTTAATTGTAAATGCGAGTTAACTCACAAATTAGAGTAATCCAGACATTGAAATACATATTTTCAAATTTAACTTTAAGTTTAGATGTAACTCGCATTTAACTCGCAATGGAAATAACGGGCCTAAGGAGTTAAATATTTAACTCCTTAGCAATTCTGTCCATTTATCAAGACCTGCTAGATGAAATAAATGTAAAGTGTTATAAAACAATTTGCTACTATAAAGACTTGAAAACAACCTTTTAATTAGTAGTATTAGGATTTCTCAATATTTATTTAAACCAAAGAATAATGTTTTATTTTATTTATAACTTTTGATTAGTTTTTCTTAGTACTTAGTATTGTTTATATAAACCAAAGAATGTTTTATTTTTTAGTTAGTGCTTTTGATTAGTTTTTATAATTTGTTTATAAAGGCTCATTTTATATTTTATAGGATACTAAGTTTACTGTTAGATACCAGCCTAACCAACCTAATCTTTCACTTGACGTGAGAAAGTAAGACTTAAAAATTTAAAAATGTTTTTAAAAAAGTAATATTTTAAAGCATTGGGCGTTGTGTTTTTGCCAGAACCGGGCGGCGAACTAACTTAAACCGGCACTGGACGTCATCCAATGACGCAATCTTAGGACGGGAAGCAGATCTTTTTTCCTTAACTAACGTCCCGAGTCCGCCCGCTTCGAAACCAACCCAAACCCAACAACCCAACCCAACCGACCCCGCCCCATTGGCCCCCCGCCCCATTGGTCAAATGGTCAAAAATGAGAGAAAACAACCCAAACTCATTTTATATTTTATAGGATACTAAGTTTACTGTTAGATACCAGCCTAACCAACCTAATCTTTCACTTGACGTGAGAAAGTAAGACTTAAAAATTTAAAAATGTTTTTAAAAAAGTAATATTTTAAAGCATTGGGCGTTGTGTTTTTGCCAGAACCGGGCGGCGAACTAACTTAAACCGGCACTGAGTGTTATGTCTTACCTTGAAACGTTTTTCAAATTTTTCGAATTGGAACCTTAGCAACAAAAATATGATTTTTTTTTTCAATGGAGTACATTTGATGCTTTTTTGTAGGCAATACACTCAGCCTTTTTAAGAACAACAAGATAAGATGGTGAAAGATTGTTCCTTGAATAATTCTGAACAAGAGACAAGCAACAAACTTATTGACAACTGAATCACATCAGGAGGTCAAAATTATAAAGCAAACATGTCACGAACGTAAATTTACGTATATTTATATCGGTTCAGGTTTATTTTTCGCAAATTTTCTCCAAAATGTCATTTTGAAAAAGGTGTCTTTGCTTAGGTCCCACTGAAAATAATGGAAGTTTTTTGCTTGTCGCTTGTTCAGAATTATTCAAGGAACAATCTTTCACCATCTTATCTTTTTTATCTTAAAAAGGCTCAGTGTATTGCCTACAAAAAAGCATCAAATGTACTCTTTTGAAAAAAAAAATCATATTTTTGTTGCTAAGATTCCAATTCGAAAAATTTAAAAAACGTTTCAAGGTAAGACATAATACTTCATTATTTCAAAGTAAAAACGAGAAAAAAATATTTTTTTTATAAACGGGGCTTGGATGAAGTTATTGAAATTTTTCACCGTTTTACATATCACCCTGTAGGAAATTTACTTGAAGAACCGTGAGCTTCATATCTATAGCATGAATTTCCAGAGAATGGAGCTAGCAGACATCACAAACCAAAATAAAATCGCTTAAGAAACAAAAAAGTTATGTCGTTTTGAAAAAGGAGGACATTTTTGGTCGCGACACATTGACTGGTGCGCAGTTTAGTTTGTTGTAAATATCATTAAGTGTGGTATCTCTAGTTTGTGAAGCATTTATAATGTTTAGGCCGGAACAGGATGATTTATATATATCTAATATTTTTTCGGGTGGTACGTTAAAAGTATTTTCCGAATTTATTAATTTTGTTGCCATTAGTTTTTTATGTTTTCTATCATGCATTGTATTTAAATAACTGTTATTTTGCAAGATGTCCTGTGACGAAGAAATCACTATATTACTTACTTTCTAAAAATGAATTAGTCAAAAATGTCATAGCGAAAAAGAAGCCACTAATAATTCTCGTCAACAGCAATTTCTATCCATGACATTTAGCAGTCAATTCCTATGAAATACGTATTATTCGCTGAATCCAAAAATGTCGTCAAAAGTTATAAAAGTAGAACAGTTTTTAAAATATAATCAATTTTACATATGATATGGAATTGACTATATCTCAAAAACTGCTTAACTTTTATAGTTTTTGACGGTCTTTTCGGATTCAGGGGACAATTTTACATAAGAATTGGCTGGTAAATGTCCGGTATACAAATAGAGTAGGATATTAGACATATGTTCAATAATAGAAATTTACATTTTTTACCAACCAGTAATTGGACACTGGCCATTTTACTGTTCGATTTCAGAATTAAAATTAAAACGCATTAAAGTGACAATTTTTAAACCATGAGGAACAAACACATTTATACCACACACTGATCTGTACACTTTTTAGAAATATTTTTATTGTAATTTAAACAGCCCTGCTCTTAACAAAAAACAATAAATCTTACCACCAAAGTAACGTGCGAACTTTTTTGTCCTATATTGAACCCAAAAAAGGTAGTTCTATACAGAGCTGCAAGCTCTCAGAAAACTTAAATCGTTTTTTTGATTTAAATCGTTTTAATGACTTAAGTCATTTGGTAATAAGTCATTTCTCTAAAACTGACTTAAGACTTAAAATTTAAGTAATTTTCAAAATGATTTGTGACTTAAATATTTTTTTCAAAATAGAAAAAACTTAAGTCATTTATAAATCAGTACATACGATTTAAGTCAGATAGAAACGATTTAAGTCAAAAAAAGATTTAAGTCTTTTTGAAAAAGATTTAAGTCTTTTTGAAAAAGATTTAAGTCTTTTTAGAAAATATTTAAGTCAGATTTTTCATATATTTTTTATAAATTTTTAACAGCGGCATTTTCTTTTGAACTGCCATAGTAGAGGATCCCAAGTAAGGTCGACCTTCACCCATCTGCTTACCAGATGAAAATTATATTTTATCAAATAAAATATGTTTCTGAACATAAACCAATAGGGTTGCCATAAAAAATATGATCAAGGCTAGCTATAATAAATAAAAAATTAAAAAAAAATAATTAATTTTTTTAATTTCACCGACTTGCTTGCCAAATGAACGAAATTCCAATGGAAAGCATACAACATACAGAATATGTAACAGCTAGGTTGCCTACCTTTTTCTGGTCCCTATTACCTGGTTGCTTTGTACAGGGTGATCCCCTATAATGTCGCCCCCCTTTAACTTTTTTATTTTAAGTGTCCCAAAAAATTTAAAAGTTTGGTTATGTAGGTACTAAAAAATACTTTTTTTCTACGTATAAAGAAAATTGGAAAATTGATCAGTATACAGGGAAAAACAAAAAGTTTATTTTTTTTCAATGGATCACCGTATATATGAATTTATTTTTCGATTCCTTGTAAAATTCTGAGCATAATTTATATAACAAACCATATACCTAAATTCAACCGTTTCTGAAATATTCGCATTCGAAATGTCATCATTAAATGTTTTTTTAAACTGTTAGAAATCAAGTAGCCTCAGTATACCAAAATTTTTATTGAAAATAAATTACTATAGTGACATTATGTCAATAAGTGTTGTTAAATAAGTAAAAATGGCGTACTCAGACAGAGAAAGACAAACTATTTCAACTTATTATCTTAAAAATAATTTAAATATTTCAGAAACGATTGAATTTAGGTATATGGTATGATATATGAAATATGCTTAGAATTTTACAAGGAATCGAAAAATAAATTCATATATAGGGTGATCCATTGAAAAAAATAAACTTTTTGTTTTCCCTGTATACTGATCACTTTTCCAATTTTCTTTATACGTAGAAAAAAAGTATTTTTTAGTTCCTACATAACCACACTTTTAAATTTTTTGGGACACTTAAAATAAAAAAGTTAAAGGGGGGCGACATTATAGGGGATCACCCTGTACAAAGCAACCAGGTAATAGGGACCAGAAAAAGGTAGGCAACCTAGCTGTTACATATTCTGTATGTTGTATGCTTTCCATTGGAATTTCGTTCATTTGGCAAGCAAGTCGGTGAAATTTAAAAAATTAATTATTTTTTTTTAATTTTTAATTTATTATAGCTAGCCTTGATCATATTTTTTATGGCAACCCTATTGGTTTATGTTCAGAAACATATTTTATTTGATAAAATATAATTTTCATCTGGTAAGCAGATGGGTGAAGGTCGACCTTACTTGGGATCTTAGACTACCAGGGGTTCACGCGGCAGCAGATCAAAAACTCCTTTAATTTCCTACCTACAATTTTTACCGCTAGAGGATAAAAAAACCGCCGCGGTAAAGTTAGCTTTTTGAAACCGTTTGACGGCTACATTAAGAAATGTCCTGTCTAAAATGAATTAAAAAAAGTGGGGATTTATAATTTTGTTATTTTGTTTTTCCAACATTCGTCATGTTCGTGCGTAGTTATGTCTAATTTGTGATTATTAGTGCAAAGTGAAAACAATCTGAGCGGTCGTGAATCGAGAGTTTGGAACTTCCCATCATTACTTCCTTAAGGGAGGAATATTTTTTTTCTAGATGGATGTTGAACCAGCTAACAAAAGTTAACAAAACAAACAGTTATCAGTTTTTGAAATACAGCGATTTTAAGAAAAATGCTTATCTATTTTAACAGAGTTTAAATCTATTACCGTTTAGAAGTTACCCATTTATGTATATAAAAAAGTAGCCTCCCTGTATGTCTACTCTACTAAAAAAGGTGGTTTAAGTTTTTATTTTTATTGTCTAATATATACTCAAAAATGTGTTTTAAGTTTTTATTTTGTTTGTAAGTGTTCTGAAAATAAATCGTTTTAAATTCTTAACATAGTGGTTTATTATCATCTGTATCTACAATAGATTAATAATATCAATATCATTAATACCATAAAATTAAATGTTAACATTAACCATAAAATTAAATGTTAACATTTAAAAAATCGTTGTATTGTAATTATTTTGATTTTATTGACTTAACTCTTAGATCACGATTTAAATAAAAAATATACACTTATGTCATAAAAACGACTTACTAAAGGAATTAAGTCATAAGATGACTTAAATCATTTTATATTGATTTAAGAATTTGCGAAAATGACTTGACTTGAAAGAAAATGATTTAATTCAAAGACTTAATACTTAAATCATTTGAACTTTATCTTAGAATTGACTTAAGATTTAAATCATTTTGATTTTAGAATTGACTTAAGACTTAAGATTTAAGTCTTTTTAAAACTGACTTGTTGCAGCTCTGGTTCTATATTAGTAGTTAAAATTCCAAAATTTACTTAGTGATTTTTAGTTTTTTGACAATTAAAACATTTTATGAAAAATTACTTTTTTCCTGAAAAAAACAACGAAACATTAGTATTACAATTTTTATCATACTTTTTGTATACAGACTTTTAATTACAAACACATTTTTCTTTAGAAAATTTTCAAAAAAAATTAAATTCGATTTCATGATTTTCTAATTTTTAAACACCCTATAGATAAGATCACAATTTTTATTTTATTGTTATTTTTTCGACTTAAACTTTTTATCAAAAATTACTTTGGTAATATATGTATGTTAAGGTTGTTTATTTTTTCCTTTTTTTAATTACATTTATTTTTTTTAGTTTTGTAGCACTACAGAACTAACCTGCTACCACTATTTAAAAATGCACAATTTAGGGGGCCAATCCTGTAATAAAGAATGGAATGTAAAACCAGATAACGCCGATAGAATTTGTAATTTCACTGAACCTACAGGTTATATGCATTTATAGATTATAATCTCATCTAGCGGAAATGCTTTTTTTAGTGTGATGGAAATGATTTCGTGTAGCATTGCAATTTATAAAAAATATTTTTTATCTTAAAGGCTTTTTATTAAATCTTACTACCTTTTTATATTCCTAGAAGAATCAAGTATACTAAATTATAATTTAGTTTGTAAGTATGGGCGCCGTTTTATTTTTTATTCAGAAATTATTCCTGGGCGAATCTCACGAAATGTCCCCCGGTGTTACCCCGTGTTATTTAATAAAACTAAATGAGTTTGACCTACACTTTTATTGTGTTTTGATCTTTCATAATTAAGTAGATATTACAGCTCAGGTTCCAGATTTTTAACCGAAATTAATTATTTTTTACAATGTTAAAAGTCTAAAACCTATCCTCCGTGACTGTTACTCTTTCTAGGTTAACCTATATGTTTTCAAATATCTGAGGTGGTAAAAGCATACTAAAAATATCAATTCACTAAGTAAATTAAACACATCCAAAGCAATCGAATCAAATATAAAATATTATTAAAAATTAAAAGAAATAATTTTTATAACCATTTATGTAGGTGTTACTAAAATTGATTATATCCTCCGTGAATCCATTTTTTGCTTTAAATTTTATGCAACGAATGGCGCTTTAATCATTTTAAATCACAACATACTTGGAAGTATGTGTTTTAAATAAGCAAAAACCTCTGTTTACGACATTATATATGCATGTGATTCCTGAAGGTCAGTTGGAATTTATATGCAGATGAGAGTGTTGCTGTTTTATAATTCAAAAGTTAAGTTCATTAATTTGATATTTAAAAACCTATCCACCGTGAAGTGTAATATCTCAGTAAGTAGATTTTTTTTATAAATATTTTATGTATGTAAAATTGTATTTTTTAAAAATATTAAGGTGTCAAAAGATACAATAACTTATTTCAAATATACAAAGGGATGTTTTAAAAAAACATACGAAATCCTTACCTCCGTGAAGCTATCTTCCGTGAAGGTCTAATATTCAAAATGTATGATTTCTTAAAATTCTTGCATTAGTGCAGAATTACATATGTTATGTTATTATTAGACCTGGTGGCTTCCCAAAAACCCCATTCTAGACTAACAGTGAAAGAACCAAAAATAAAAAATAATCATTTTCACTTGGGGGACATCTCAATATATTCACCCTCCTATGTGTCAACTCTAAAGTGATATTTTCATTTAGATAAAAAATATCAATTTGGCATAAAAATTAAATCTAATTTTTCATCAAGCGATTTCAAAATGTGAGTCTAACAAAAAAATACAAATATAAGAAACATATATTTTAAATTTACTAAATTAAAAATATCAGTTTGGCATAAAAATTAAATATAATTTCAAAATATCTGCTATGATATTATTAATTCGCAGAATATGTGATATTTTGTGTCTAATTGAAAATATCACTGTAGCCTACAGTGCTGCCAGAGCAGATGGTCGGATAATCCGTATATATTCGTGGAAAGGGTGGGGGGAAGCCGCGAAAAATCCGTAAAAATCCGTTTTTGTCTAAATTTCGAAAAATTTCTTCTATAAGGGGGATTTTCGTGACAAAACATACCTTTCGTCAAAGAAAATCCGAAACATCTCAGAATTTTTCGGGGGAGTTTCAGAAGTTTGAACCTCTTCGTCAGTGATATAATTCTCGTCACTTTCCATTTTTCACAAAATAAAGTATTTTATATACAGATTCGGATATATAATAAACATTGACTTTGAGATCAAAATATTGCCACAATGCAGTTCAATGCACTGAACTGGAGTCAGTATTGGTTAGTCGTTACTATTGGTGGCATTGCGCAGCTTATATATTGGCAGCAATAACAACGTGTTATAAAACCTTAACAAATGATATGAAACTATCGTTCTCTTTGTCACACTCAATGAAAAAGCATATGTTTCGCATATATTCGGCGTTTAAGAACCCTATATTAAGAACACATCCTTTTTCAATCCGCTTTCTTTTTCTGTCTAACGTAGTAAAAAGGAAGAGGAATAGAAGCGTGACAAAGATGATCAAAAAACGTGGCAAAAATGATGTTTTTTTAGTATTAGTATGAAGCTATCTTAAAAATCCGTAAAAATCCGTATTTGATGAAAATCCGTTCAAAATCCGTTTCCAATTTCTCTAGACCTGGAAAATCCGTAAAAAACGGATAAATCCGTTCATCTGGCAGCACTGACTGTAGGGTTAACACATAAATAATATTTAAATCAAGTCACATACCTACTTTCAGTGGAAGTATGTGAAACTCTATGGTGAAACACTACCTTGGCGCCATCTAGATATTAGTGTACAAATTTTAAACTAAACGTTTAGAAGTTCTATGTTTTAATTTTCCATATAAAATAGAGGTATCCATGGTTCATATAACAACCATTTTTCCAAAGAACTTTGCATTTTTCTATACAGCGTGACTGATTTAAACAGGCTCTATAGCAACTAAATTGTTTAAGATATTTTAGTAAAACAAAAACTATATTGTTTAGTTATGAGGGTGTTTCAAAATAAAAGTGACAAAAATCAAGAATTTTAAGAAATCATATTGTATATTTTGACACCTTAATATTTTTAAAAAATACCATTGTAGGTACATACATAAAATATTTATAAAAAAATCTACTTACTGAGATATTACACTTCACGGTGGATAGCTTTTAAATAGAAAATTAATAAACTTAAACTTTTGAATTATAAAACAGCAACACTCTCATCTGCATATAAATTCTAACTGACCTTCAGGAATCACATGCATCTATAATGTCGTAAACAGAGGTTTTTGCTTATTTAAAATGATTAAAGCGCCATATGGCGCAATATTGCATTAAATTTTATGCAACGGATGCAACCGTTGCATAAAATTTAATGCAAAAACAGATTCACGGAGGGTGGAATCAATTTTTGTAACACCTACATAAATGGTTATAAAGATTATTTCTTTTAATTTTTAATAATATTTGATTCGATTGCTTTAGATGTGTTTAATTTACTTAGTGAACTGATACTTTTAGTATGCTTTTACTACCTCAGATATTTTAAAACATATAGGTTAACCTAGAAAGAGTAACAGTCACGGAGGATAGGTTTTAGACTTTTAAACATTGTAAAAAATAATTAATTGCGGTTAAAAATCTGGAACTTGAGCTGTAATATGAGTACCTTAGATGCAAAACTCGGTTTTTGCAAATTAAAAAATAAAATAAAATTGACTTTAAATTCTGTTTAGTGTTCGTCCTAGATAAATGGCGTTCATAAAACTTGATACATAATAATATTATATTATATATATTATTATGTATCAAGTTTTATAAACGCCATTTATCTAGGACGAACACTAAACAGAATTTAAAGTCAATTTTATTTTATTTTTTAATTTGCAAAAACCGAGTTTTGCATCTAAGGTACTCATATCTACTTAATTATGAAAGATCAAAACACAATAAAAGTGTAGGTCAAACTCATTTAGTTTTATTAAATATCACGGGGTAACACCATCAGGGGATATTTCGTGAGATTCACCCAGTTATACAGGGTGTCTCAAATTTTAATTGGAAATTATCGCCGACGGTGGACGAGTGGTTAGTGCTGCTGACTACAAGCCGGAGGTCGTGGGTTCGAATCCCACCAGGGGTAAGGCTGTTTATTTGTGTTTGTCCTATTGTGTAATAGTCCTTCGGAGGGGACTTTAAGCCCGCGGTCCGTTCCTACCCCTAACCCGCACAAGCCATTCAGTTGGCTTATGGGACTTCTTAAGAAGTAAGGGTGGAACTAAAAGAGCACTTTTGTATATAAACTTTTGTATAATTGAATATTTTAAAAACTTGTTTTTGAGATACAGGTGGTAAAAGTTTCAAATATTTAAAAATAAAATTTGAGCATGCCACTGATTTTTTAAAAGTTTAATATTATTTTTAGTTAGGGGAATAAAAAATAAAACTTTTCTGTCACCTGTATTTTTTATCTTAATTTTCAAGAAAAAAATAAAATTCGATTAAACGCCCGCCCCTGGAAAAATTATGGTCACAAAAAAAATTAAGAAAAAACAAAAAAATTGTATTTTTAAGTGCTTAATTTAAATATTATATACCTATAGGTATATAATAAAGTACCTATATCCAAATGAGTATCAAAATAAAAAACCTAATTACAAATAAACGTTTATTATCAGTATAGTAATAAATAATTATAAATATGGGTTATAATTTATGAAAATACAAAGTTGCATATTATAACTTATTCTAATATCACTTTTTGTTCTGAAATGAAATAGTTTATTGTCAATTTGGTATTAGTGAAAAAAAATAGTACAAAACTTATAAGAATATGCAAAATCACTCATAATATAAAAAACTTAGTATTACAAGCATATCTTTTTCAATTAAAACAAAAATCAAAACTAATAAATAACGCATGCAATGCATTTAAAATAAACAGTCTTCTAAATAATAAAATAATATTGTAAAATAAAATATAATGCCTCAGTTCAGTTTTTCTTTTTTTTCTGTACCTAAAAACAGGTCAATTTCAAAACTACACAAACAAAATTTTCTAAAACATCAAAAAATGATTTAAAATGAAAAAACTACATGACCATTATTTTACTAGTGTTAGAAACCCCAAAAACATGGCAAATAAAACCAAACATATTACCTTATCTTTGTTCTTGTGATTTTCCTGATTATTTCCGGACTTGGATCTTTCTTGCTCCAACAATTTATAAAGTCTACTGACTTCTTCAGTCAACTCCTCTTTTACCAAAGTAAGTTTTTCGAGTTCCAGTAGGACAGCAGCTTTATCTTTCACTGAAAAAGTCAAAATAGAAAAATAGTAAAATTTAATGTATTATACTAACTTTCACCCTGCGACAACATACTACATAGTGTGGAATTACGTTTTTTAACTGAAGCAATTTCAATCTTTGCCTCATTCAATTCTTTGGTTAGAATTGCGTTATTAGCCTTCTCTTTCTCTAGTTTTTCCTTAAATATTATTAATTTAATATATTTTTTTATTTAAACAGTAACATCCTAACCTGCATTTGGGCGATGGAAATAACCTCATCAATATTAATTTCCCTCTCTTTCCGTTTAGCCTTAACACTCTCTTTTGTTATTTCACTTTTTACTGACTCCTTAATGTTGTCAAAAAAGTTTGGATCCTCCTTATTTCCCTCTTCAGATTCTTTTGTTTAAAAAACAATGGTTAAATTACCCCACCTGGAAGAATTAATACTTACCGATTTCCACTTTCGGCTTCTCTAAAAACTGATCCAATGACATTGTCTTGTTCTTCTTCTTTTTCTGTGGTTGGTCAGAAATTTGCAAAACAGCAGGATGTTTTTTTTCTTTTTCAAAAGCCAACTTTGATTGCAAAATTGCATGTTGTAAATCCTGCTCATAATGGTCGTTAACAATTTCGTTATCCTTTTGCTTCCATTCCTCCCACTGTTTCGTATCTTTGGTTTTATTCTTCTTCTTGCTCTGAGTCGTCTAAAACCCCGACAATAAACACTGAAATCTACAATAATATTAACTTACTTTGTGGGTCGTTTTTTTGGCAGCAGAGGTCGAATTTACAGGTTTCTTGTCGCTTTTCTTTCTACCTGAAACAGGTTTAAAATCCTCATCTTCGATTTTAAGGCAGGAAAATCGCGATGGAACTGAAATATCCATTTTTTGCAGATCGGGCAAGAAATATTAACCGGCAAATTGACAAACTGCGCAACAGCAGGCTGGTAAAGCATTGCCAACATAACACAAACCAATACCACTAAAAGATTGTTGTGTTGATGCCTGGGGGATTTGTCTTTTGTTGTGTTGGAGTGGTAACACTAAACCGATTTTTACTTTTGACAACCGGTAAGTAATTTTTTATTTAATACTGTTTTGGTGTGGTTTGTGGGCGTTTAAAATAAAATTTTAATACTGCTATTAAAAGTTTGCTAGGAAATCCTGTGCAAGTCAAGTTTGTATATTTAGTCAACGAAGAATGTATGTATATTTTATTGCGTTATTGAAAGATATTTCAAGGTTTTTGAAAAAAAATTGTTTTATTAAAAATTTCAGTACAGAGTACAACATTGCCAATAAATAGTCCCTTTTATTAATATATTATACAACTACCGCGTGTTTCTTTCCTTATATAATTTTTTTGTTAGGTAATAATGACCACAAAACAAGATAATAGACTGATAATTTTTTACCTAATTGAAATTAAATGCAAATTCACCTTTTTATTTAAACTTAATTGATATTAAACTTTGCCCATATAATTGTTAACATGTTAGTTTCACATGTAATGCTTACGTGTATCCAATTTTCTAATGGATTTATTAAAAAAACATTTTTTTCTGCCTTTACGTAGAAATTATGAGGTTAGTGATATTTACTTTACTTCAAAAACATTTTTTGTTGTACCTCGTTTTGAATTATGAGTATTAAACTTAAACATTCCAATACTTTACGTTTCATATTTTAATCATCAATTTAAATAATAGTGTCATTAGAAACTTTGTTAAAGTTTTATTAATTTAAAAAAAAATATTCATTGATTAAATTTTTTTGGGAATTTAATATTTCAAACAAGCCACAGTTTTATTAAGAGTTATCTTTTTGGAAAACATAATAAAAAAGTATTTTGATAGAATAAAAAATTATTTTTTTTCTTTAAGCCTTACGAAATGGCCAGTAGATTGGATTTGTTAATTCTGGGGGCCACTGGCTTCACAGGAAAGCATTGCATTGGACCAATTTTAAAAATGTCAAAGGCAAATGGAAGAAATTTATCGTGGGGAGTTGCCGGAAGGTCTGAAGACAAACTCGACAAAGTTTTGAAGGAAATGGGGGAAAAGTTGGGTAATTTACGTCAAAAAATATTTAAACGTCTTTTAAAAGTAATTTTGAAGGTGAAAACCTGGATTCCATCCCAAAAGTGATTGTCGACATAAACAGTGAGGAAGATTTAAAGGTTATGGCACAAAAAGCTAAAGTTGTTGTTAATTGTTGTGGGCCTTATCGTTTTTTGGGCGAGGCTGTTGTTAAGGCTTGCGTTGAGGCTGGAACTCATCATGTCGATGTAAGTGGGGAGCCTCAGTATATGGAAAAAATGCAGCTGAAGTATCATCAGGTGGCTCAGGAAAAAGGAGTGTATGTGGTAAGTTTAATTTTGCTTCTGTTTGAAATATTTTATTTTATATATATTTTATTTATTGACACAAAAAAATCAAATTATCAATCTGTCATTCTCGTCTAGAAGATCCGGCAACACTGTATTACGAAAACGTGATTATCTAGGTACATATTTGATTTATTTATTAACTAACGTTTTTAAAGTAAATTATTAAAAAAAGTTATTTATTATAACTTATTTTTTTTTAAATAATTAAACAATCCTACTACATTCTATGATTTTCTTCTGTCTGTTTTCTGCTCTTCTATTTAGACTTTTTTATATTTTAAATAACACTGCATATGGAACTGTCACTGCCACTGTCAAAAGTGAAAAGTCCTATTCTGGGTTTTTCCGACCTAATAAGTATCATACTGATTTTTCCGAAAGTAAGACTTTCTAAACTTAATTTTTCGGAGAAAAATTTACACAAACGTGTTCAAAATTGAACAAAAAATATCGTTTTCTCCACCCAACACCGTATTTTTCCTGAGAAATTAAATGAAAATAAATTAATTTTAAAACAAAAATATTTTGTTGTTGTTTAATAATAATAATAATAAAATCAGTTTATTCGTCTCCAAAAACTCTACAGGTTTACAGAGAGACACCTCTAAATAGTTTTAACAATTAGTTGCTCGATTAGTTGTATATACAGAACAAAAACATTACATTATATATCTCAATATCACAATACATTACATTATATATCACAGTAAATTACATACTAATACCTGCAGGTAAACAATATAACTTACTTTAAATTTCTGATATTTTTCAAATTTTTAACAATTTTACCCCAACTAGGCACCTGAAAATATACCTACTAGGAAGACAAAATTTTGTAGTATATGTACCACACTAAAAACATAACTTTTGCAAAATGAACCATGGGTATTACAACAAGGTATGTTTTTCAGTAGGAGTTACCGCCAACTTAGTTCATTCCCGCGAAAATATTGTTAATGAAAAATAAAACTATTTTATATGGTTTTTCAATCAAATAAAATATATTGTTTTAAGGTAAATAATGTTTACTAAATACCAAACAAAATATTTTATGAAAAAATAATTTTAGTTTTTAGGTTAAATGTTTTAAATAATGGGTTTTTTAAATAAAATATTTTGTTTCAAAGCCATTTATAAGTCAAATGTTTTCAATAAAATAACATATCATGTTTTAAAGAATGAAATGAAAAGTGTCACGTTACAACAATAACATTGCAAGAAAAATGTAAACAACATATGTTTTCTAAATTTATTTATTTCAAAATGGTATTTACAAATAATTGCAATTTAGGTTTAGTTGTGCCAAATAAAAAACCTAAATTGGCCACTATTGAGCCAACAATAAATAAAACAAACTAAACTTGTGAAAAATATTATATTATGGTATGGTATAAGCTGGTTTTCTAATGCTTTTGGGATGTTTCAATCCCGGGCCATTTCATTATCAGCAGCATGCTGCAGTTTGAGTTTCTGTTATGGACTGTCCTTGAAGATCATTAGCTTCCTTGTCTTGGCACATTTCCTGCTCAATGCAAAAATTTTGATTAATTTTGTTTTTCAAATTTTATTTTTATTTCTTACACTGCACTACTGGATTTCTTAGAGTTTGAGTTTCTGACTTTAAAGATCATATTATGCTTCCTGGTTTGGTCCTATTTTTTACACTGTAAAAAGAACTATGATTTAAATTGTTTTTTCTAATTTTATTTTAAATTCTTACAAAGTACTTGATTTCTTTTTTGATAACCCCACCTAAACAAAAAATCAGATGTGTTATTTAACAAAATAACAACTATATCTGAAGTTAAATAGTTTAATTGCGACGTAATTTATAACCTTAAAATATTCGTACATTGTGATGCTTAGAAGCTAACATTAAGAATAAACACGGAAGAGTTTCATTTCAATACTCGATAAAATGTTCAAATGTCGCACCCGTTACATTTTGAGAAAATTTTAGAAAATAAAGTATGCCATTTTTGCGCATTTAAAATACGTGCTTGTTTAAGGTTACTATTTAAGTTTTACTGAAAAAATTAACACTATATGCTTTTATCCAAAATTTTACAGTATCAACTTTAGAAGCCAACTTGGTCGTATTTGCCGATTTTCTAAGGTCGCGCCCGTTACGCTATTCATGACGTTATAAAATGTTTTTTATACAAGTTTTTATTGACATTTTGTTTGAGTTAAATACTTAATTTTTCTTACTATTTTTTTATATTAACGTATCTTGATATATATGAACAAACACTTTATTATCATGAAAAAACGCAGTTTTAGTGTCGCACCCGTTACAATGGAAATACCCCATACTAGGGAAATGTATTGGATTTTCTGTTTTTTTACTTTTGACATTTTTTTTAAAGATTTTAACTTGGCATGTAGACATTTTTTACACTTACAAAACTTTAAAATAGCTTAAAAAACAACTCTCATCAAAATGTAAATAGTCAATATGGCGGCGACTGGGTGCTCCCTAGACTGGTCCAAAAAAATCGACTATTTTTTTAATTGTTTTTCGAAAATATTGTTTGGGGTGACAATAAAAATTATTGTGTGTATTTAGTTTAACAAAATTGACTAAAAAATATTTTTCGAAGGAAATTGAAGTCAACACGAAATTCTTGTTTTTCCGCTGTAGATTTATTTTTTTTTTGTTCAGTTGAATTTTTTTATCGATGATATTCTTTATCACAGTGGTCCTCGACTAGCCATGGGTTTTATGAAAATGGCGCCAAAAAATAGGTTCAGATATTAGTAGGCATGTATATCAAGGTTACAAAAACGCTGCAAGTCAAATCATAGCTGATCATAAAAATTTGTTTTTGTGATACTTTTATTTATGTTTACATTTGACAATTGTTTTAAATTAATTTCAATAATTGGCACATAATTGGAGGTCACAAAAGTTTACATATAGGTTCATTGATAAGTTGGCACTGAAATATTTGATTAACTTGTCAGTTGTCAGCCTAGGTTTGGTCTAGGGTTGTCAGTTACTGTTTGCCTTAAAACACAAATCTAATAATTTTTGTCGGTTTTATTGTTACTTTTATGATAAAATGAACCCTATTGAAATTGTAAGCAACCATGAGCATAACAGCATGTGGGCAGAAAATTATTATGGGTAATACAAAATCGTGGAAATTTTTAATTACAGAATCCTAAGTTCCCAATTTCAATTTCCATCTGCAATACTTGTCGCCATGGAATCCCAAAATTTAAAAGCCAATTATTATGTAAAATTGTCCCCTGAATCCGAAAATACCGTCAAAAATTATGAAAGTTTAGCAGGTTTTGAGATATAGTCAATTCCATATTAAATGGAAAATTGACTATATCTCAAAAACTGTTCTACTTTTTTAACTTTTGAAGACATTTTCGGATTCAGGAGACAATTTTACATAATAATTGGTTGTTAAATTTTGGGATTCCATGGTTAACCATGGTTCAAGTGAAAAAGCCTCTAATAACTAAATTAGTCATTTTTGACTAATTCATTTTTAGAGAGCTGGGCTTTCAAAGTCTCTTAAATTGCACGTCATTTTGGAACATATTACTCAATCTTTGCAGTTTCTTCAAGAAGGTGAACTTGGTTTATGGTCAGAGCAAGCAGGAGAATCTATTCATAGAGAGTTTGTCAAGTACTGGAACCGATATAAAATAAATCTCTTACAAGATCCTTGCTATCAAATCCAGTTAAAAAAAGCTGTTGTTGAGTTCTCCTCTAGACATTTGTAACAAATATTGAGTATATGTGAATTTGTTTTGGTCAATAACCTTTTTTCACTGTAAAAAAAAAGTACTTTTTTAAAATTGTAGGAATCTAAAGGCTATATAAAAATGCGAAATTGTTACATCCATAAAATAAGTTAATGATCAGCTACGATTTTACTTGATGAATTTTTGCAATGCTTATAGATATACCTATCAAAATCCGAACTCATTTTTTGGCGCCATTTTCATACAACCCATGGCTAGTCGAGGACCACTGTGTTATGTTATTGGCAAAATTACTGGAAATTAAAAAAAATATATAACAAGTTTTTTTATTGAAAATTGTTCATTAGTTATATAATACATGTATAAAGAAAAAAATCAAATTATCATCCTTAAAAAAATAAATTACAGAGGAAAAAACAAGAATTTCGTTTTGACTTCAAATTTAACCTTGAATAACTTTTGATGAATGAATTACAAAATTCCAAAGTTAAAAGATCAAATTTTAAAACTATACCAATTTTTAAGGCATGATTATAAGGAAAAGGTTCATCTGACGGAAAATTTCAATCAAACCTTTTTTGTAGAGCATATCCTTAAAAAAAATTTTGTTAAACTCAATAGATTGGGAGTTCTAAGACAAAAACTCGCTCAAGAAAAAAAATCTAAAATTGCGATGATATTATTATTAAAATTATGGACTCAAACTTTCACAATATTTTTTATCTGTTGCTGTAATAAGATTCTTTACCCAAGCCAAAATTTTGATTTTATAGGTTGGCTATACTTTAAACAGCATAATATTTTGCATATTGGTTATAATATTTTTATGATTTTTCTAGTACTTACGAGAGTTTTCTGGCAATAAATTTTGTTTAGCACCAAAGAAAATCCTTTTTTTCTTCTTTAATATTAACAGCCGCTTATTGTAAATAAGTAAATTAAGGACGCCATGGCGAATCGATTTTGACATTAACTGTGACATTGACTGTGATACCTACCAACTATCTAAAGTAAAATTCGACCAAATTAAATTAAAGGTATAAAATTATTTTTTTATAGAATCTTTGCAAAATAGATAAAATAGCATAAAGAACTCATGTTCTTTAATATACTATTTTGTCACCCCAAACAATATTTTCGATATACTTTACAACAACAAGAAATAGACGATTTTTTTGGCCCAGTCTAGTGCTTCCACCTATTCGCCAATCTGATGGAGTGGTGGAAACAGATGCGCAAGAACCTACTTTTTTTTGTACCATGGTAATACCCATACGAAATTCGCAAATAACTTTATTTTGAGTCATGAACGTGCTCAATGACGTTCACGAGCGCTCACCTTAAAAAAATACAAAATTATTCTCTAGGTGAGCGCATGCGGCTTCGACAGCATTCCCTGCGACATGGGCGTCGTTTTTATGCAGCAAAACTTCGAGGGCACCTTGAACTCCGTCAAAACCTACCTGACGGCGTGGACCGAGGGCGACGTCACCGGCCCCCTGGTGAACTACGGCACGTGGCACTCGCTCGTCTACGGGCTGGCGCACGCCGACGAACTGAAGGGTCTGCGCAGACAGCTCTATCCGACCAGAACGCCCAAACTCAAGCCCGAAGTCAAAACCAAGTAAGACGCGCAGAAATGTTACCGCAAATTTTCTTTTCATGTCATTAATACCGTAAAACAGGGTAATTAGAATGTAGGACGGCGGTTCTCAAACCGCGGTATGTGGTACACACGAAACAAATTCGGCTTTTTTGTCGATTTAGTTTTTCAATTACGCACATTTTGATTTACAATTTTCATATTTTTAGCCATTTTTGTAGAATATCCTACGTAATCGGCCATTTTTTTAAATTGTACCCACGTCTTTTTTTTATTCAAATAGGTTATGAAATTGTGATTTCAGCAATATGCACATTTATACCTTTTGGGCTGATACTTTCGGAGATATTAAAAGTTTGACCTTATTATTAAAAGTGAAAAATTTAAAGTTTTTAATAATGTTGTGATGTTTTAAAGTTTTGATAAAATTGAAAAGTGTTTATTTGGGTGCTCCATTTAAAACGAACATTATTTTTTTTTCGCTGACACATGAAAATTTTGTTCCTTTTATCGAAAAAAAAGTTCCCTGAAAATTTGAACGCTTAAATTTAATTTTAAGTGGTTCCTTTAGATCGATGTATATTTCCCATTTAAATAACGTGTAAATCATTTTTTAATTTAAATTAATATAGCTCCGTTTGATTTCATGCGATTAGTCAGAATTTGTAGTATATACTAATATATATTAGTGACACTTTGTTACGTGTGGAAAAGAAGAAGTGCTTATAGCCTAGTCGCAGCTTAAAGTACAAAATTAGACTATGCAGGAACTTAACGAAGATGAAACTATGATAAATTTATGTAACAATAATCCACAATTTCCTCGTAAAATAATTTTTTCGGACGAAGCTACCTTCTGGTTGAATGGTACGGTCAACCGTTAAAATTGTAGGTACTGGAGCAGAGAAAATCCTCATTGGGTAGTAGAGGCAAATTCCCAATACCGGCAAAAAGTGAATGTCTGAGCAGGAATGGTGGAAAACCAGATAAGTCCTTTATTCTTTGACAAACGTATTTGGAATTTTTGCAAAACTCTTATTTCCAAATTGGCAGAAATGATTACCAATGAGAAAGGAGGTCCCGACCTACCAAGTGATACCATTTGTTTTAAACATGACTTTTTTGGACACATGTTTTCCTGAGAGGTGGATTGGCAGACGAGGACCGATAGAGTGGCCAGCGAGATCTCCAGATATCACCCCTCTTCATTATTTCTTATGGGGCTACCTTAAATCAAAGATCTACATCAACAGATCATAACATTAAGAAGACTTGTAGAATAAAATTCGTGAAGAATGTCGCTTTATTAGCGCGAAAGTAATCTAAAACGTTCTCAGAGAATTTTCGGGTAGGCTTGCTTACTGTCAAGAAACCAACGGGGAGCAATTCGACCATTTAATTGGTTAATGTATGCATTAAAAGCATTTTCAAAATAATTTTTTGGAAATAAAATTTTTAACTTTTAAATTTAATATTACCCAAAACTATCATCCCCAAAGAATTTCATAATCTATTCGAATCTGCAAGAAAAGAGGGGGTACAATTAAAAAAAAAACGATGAAAATGAATTTATGAACTGTCTAACTGTTTATTTTTAGTATGTTGCCACACAGAGTTGATGGAGTTAAGGGATGGGTTCTACCATTCCTTGGTTCCGACAAATCTGTGGCAAGAAGATCACAAAGATACTTTTTGGATAAGCAGGAAAAAAGACCAGTACAAGTGGACACTTATTTCACTGTACCATCTGTCTTTGCTGTATTTTTGTTGAGCATTTTTGGCTTGATATTCACCATTTTCACCAAATTCAATCTCGGCATCCAGCTTCTCTTAAAAGTAAGTAAGCCTTTTTTGTGTAGACAATTTAATTTTTTAACAAATTATATGAAATTTCTTTTAAATAGGGTTTTAAATAACCGGAAAAATTTGGGAAAAAACCTGTTTTTTCCGTTTTTTTTCCCAGGCCTTGGAAATTTTGTAAACATTAAATTAATTTTAATTAAATATTCTTTATTACAGAAAAAAAAGTAAACCTTAATTTAAATTGATTTAAGAAAATAAACAATAAATATACTGTCAGTTGTGTATTTTTTGCAAAATATAAATATCCAAATACAAAATATTGAGTTAAATTATAATTTTATGAATGAAGTGTCAAATAAAACGAAAGTTATTTATTAACACCGAATATGTTTTTATTTTTCAAATAAATTTAGTAGCAAAAATCAATTATTTTTTTTACATTTTAGTTTTTTTTTAAACCCAAATATTTTTGTTTTTTTTAGTATTTTGTAGCCGGATTTTTTTAAATTTTCTTTTAGTACCCTGAATTTTTCTCCGGCGGCTACTTCAGCAAGGAAAGCCCTTCGGAAAAGCTCACCGAATCCACCAAGTTCAAGATGACTTTCCACGGCGAAGGTTGGAGGGAAAAATTGCGCAACGTAATGGATTCCTCCAAAACGACCGACGAAAAAATTGTCGCGACCGTGGAAGGAACCAATCCCGGGTACGGAGCAACCTGCGTTTCCTTGGTTACGTGCGCCATCATGATTTTGACCGAAAAAAACAAACTTCCAGCTGGGTGAGTGCATTTTTGTTGGCAGTTGCGTCTAGGTTCTATGGAAGTGCATCTCCATGTAAAACAGTTGTGAGAAACAATATTTTATATTTTAAAAGTTACACTGTGTTTCAAAGACCTATTCCAAAATTTATTTTTATTATTATTATTATTATTACATAGGTATTTTCTATATATATTAGATTAAAACTACATAATCCTCTTTAATTTTGTGGCAGTTTTAAGACGGTTTCTGTTTTTCAAATAAATACATTCCTAAAATAACTTTTGGAATTAAAATTATTAAAAAGTGTCGTATTATAATTGTTTAAAATCTCTCAGAACATTTTAGACAGTTTGTGGGACATTTTTTAAGGTTTTGGTTCTAAAACATTTGTTTGATTTGATTTTGTACGTATTTTTTTTAAGTTAAAATATTTATAAAAATACAAGCAGTACAGCTTTTTGAAAAAAATTAACAACGAACAACGTCAAAAAATTAATAAGAGTGAAAAATGAAATTTGTCTGGTCTTTCAGAAATTTTTATTTCAAGAGTTTTTTACGATTTATTTTTTGTTTAGTGTAACGAATTTTTTTCAAATAATTTAGGTTATTCAACTTTCAATTTAACGTCAAATGGTGCAAAACTGACAGAGTGGGTCGAAATTAATAATATTTAAATATTTGAGGTGAAAAAAAATTGTGACAAAAAAATTTTTTGTCAACATTCTAGATTCTCTAAATGCACTAAAAAAATTTTTTTCGCCATTACTTATCTACAAAAAACCTTCCATTAATTTTGAAGTAAATATTGTAATTTCGCAGATAATTGCGATTTTATCCTAAAATTGTCATTTTTTACCAAACATTATTTTAAAAATAAAGTTTTTTATATACCTACTTAATTTGTTAGAAATTATTTATGTCCACAACAATTTTTTTTTACAAAATTTACTTATTTTATTAGTAAAAATTTGTTTCTTTACACATTTTGTTAATTTCTCCCACAAAAAGGTCCTTTTGATTATTGGCACTACAATATGTATGAAAAATTAAATTTCCTAACAAAATATATAAAAAAATAGTGAAAAATTGCTGAGATAAATTCGTGATTATCACTGGTTAAAAAAATTCAAATTAAAATTGATTTTTTTTGTACACAATTTAATTTTTTACTTTTAAATAGGGTTTTAAAGGGTCAAAAAAACTCCGAAAAATTGAGGGAAACCCCGTTTTTTCCGTATTTCCCAGAGTCCTTGGGCTCTTCTGGAAAAAATTGTTTTTTTTTGTTGATAATATAGAAGTAGCAAACAACAACTTAACTTTATTTAAATTAAAAAAAACCTTTATTACAGAAAAAAATAAAACCAAACATTTAATTAAATTAAATTGATTTAAGAAAATAACCCAAACGTGTTTTTGCAAAAAGGAGTCATTTGAAAATGTCCTATTACAAAATAATCAATTATTTATAAAGTTAAATTACAAAATTATAATTTCATAAATCAAAGTGTCAAATAAAACGAAAGTTATTTATTAGTTGTTTTTTTGCGGCCCGGTAGAATATTCTTACTGAATTAAAATGAAACGAATATTTATTATAATCATTTTGATTGTAATCAGCGTCTGAAATTCACTTTTTTCTTGATATCAGTGTTAAAAAATTGACTTTTGCATCTTTTTCGTATTACCCTTTGAATAAAATGAAAAAAAATCAATTTTTCTGTAAATTTTCCAATTTTTCCTTTTTTTTCCTCCGGCTCAATAAGTTTTGACAACATCTCAATTATTTCAGAAACTACAATATTTATGCCATACTTAATTCATAGGGACCTTTTTTGTAGACAATTAAATTTTAAAACAAATTATGCTATTTTTATAAAAAATGTAAATTTTAAGATAAAATCGCACTATTTATGCGAAAATTGATAAGGAATGTTTTGTAGACAATTAAATTTACTGACAAAATTTACCAAATACAAATGTTAAATAAGTAAATTTTGACAAAATGACAATTTTGAAAAAAAATCGCGATTATCTGTGTAATTTTACCTTAAAAAAATTATATTTTTGCTATTATCAAATTAATTTAAAAAAGCGGATATTCGACCCACGTAAAAAAATAGTACGAATTACCTACTTCATTATTTTATTGTTTCTAAAAATTAAATAACCCCATTGTAAAAATTTCATTTTTTCTAAAAAATTGCCGGAAAAATTGGTTTTTTTCGTTACTTAATATATAAAGAATAAATAATAATAATAATAATAAAGAATGAATATTTTAATTGAAAAGTTGAGACTTTTTTACAGGAAAAAAAATTTACAAAAAATAATTGCGACATTTGTTTGCGACTCACCCCTGTAAAATCTTTATTGTGCGATTTTAACCGAATTTGTTGATAAACTGTATTTTTGGAGCAAAAAACGCCATATTTTTACAAAATACATACATCAGTTTTTGAGATTAAATTTTTAAGAATTTATATTGGTAATTTACCAAAAAATCTATGCACACCCCTCAAAACGACCCTTTTATTGAAATTTTTTAAGTAGTAACGATTTTGTAGCCACATTAAAAATGAACAATAATAGCAACATTTACAAAAATTTATCCATGAAAAAACAATGAAATAAAATTAAACTAATAGTAACATGGCCTTGTGCTTAGTTTTGACAAAAAAAACGTAATAGAAACCTAAAACGACAATGAAACAAAAAAATAGAGAATTCAAAAAATTCTTGTTTCATTGTTGTTTTAAGTTTCTATTGCGCTTTTTGTTTGTTAAGAATATTTATACCATGTTACTATTAGTGTAATTTTATTTTAATGTTTTTTTTAATGGATAGCTTGACAGAATAAATTTTTGTAAATATTATATTATATATATATATAATATATATATATATATATATATATTGTAGGGTGGTGACCCACCCTTGGTATTCTCTGAAAAATGTCACTTGTCTTGACGAATTCTATACTTGTCTTACTTATATTTTTGTAATATTAAAATATCCCTAATTGAATATTATTATTTAATTACAGTTTTAGGCTTTTAGTTATAGGCAACTGCTTGTACAGCTGTGTATTTTTGGTATTATAATCATTATTATTATATAATAATGTAATAATTGGGTTTAGAAGATTATTGTGAATTATCTAGTTATCGTAAATAGGTTACTTATTTAATTAATATTTGAAGTAGTGCTGTTAATCCTTAAAAAGAATTGACAGAAACTTTTACGATGCGCATGCATAAAGAAGTTTCTACGGTTTTTGGACGAGTCCATTATTTGATGATGGTGGGAAGGAGGCTAGAAAAAAAAGGTTTTTCGATTGGATTATTAGGGTGTTGGCTGTTGGTGACTACACACGTGAAGCGAATATTAATAAACAGAAAAACTTCTAAAAGAATATGGTAATCTTCGTACATTGTGGTTCTTTCATATTAGAAGAATATACAGGTTAGTCTGATATTATTTATAATACATATTTTGTTGTAAATGATTGATTTACATGTTTTAATTTCTCCAACGGCTGCCATTACGCAATGCTTGTAGTCACGTACCTCAAACAAATGCCTATTTTTCTCAATTATTTATTATTTAGAAAAACATTGAATTAAACTTTGATTTATATTTTGAATGCTATAATAAACATAGTTTACAAATATTACAAATTATTAGAATACATAATGTTAAACGTTATTATGAAATTATCAAATTATACATTCTTAAACTAAATTTGTATCAATATTACATTTAGTATTATTATTGTGATTGGTCCAGTTTTACAGTTTGATTAATATCTGTGTTTTCAATTGACTTATCGAGACAAGTGAAAAATAACACTATTTATTATTAGGGTTTAAGGTCCCTTGATTTATGTATATGATTTGACCATGCTCCTTGAAGATTAAATATAAAAAGTTACAACAAACAAATATGTCGCCTAAATGGCACAATAACAAATATATCGCCTAAATGGCACAATAATAAATATATCGCCTAAATGGCACAATAATAAATATATCGCCTAAATGGCACAATAACAAATATATCGCCTAAATGGCACAATAATAAATATATCGCCTAAATGGCACAATAACAAATATATCGCCTAAATGGCACAATAATAAATATATCGCCTAAATGGCACAATAACAAATATATCGCCTTAAATGGCACAATAATAAATATGTCGCCTAAATGGCACAATAACAAATATATCGCCTAAATGGCACAATAACAAATATGTCACCTAAATGGCAAACTAACAAATATGTCACTTAAGTGTCACAATTAAAAGTATATTACCTAAAGGGTAAATACAACAATATTATTACCAAAATGGTTTACAAACTTGCCTAAATGGCTTTACACACAATAAGTTGTTAACACCGTCGTTATTTTTATCGACGAGGTTCAGGGTCTCAGTATATATTCTTGGTTCACCACTCTACCTGCACGTTATAATTGTAATGATTTTGACTACTATTATGTTTTGGATCAGGGTCTCCTTGGATTGACCATAATCCTAACCTCACTTTAACTACGCGAATACGACACGGTATAATTGGAATGATTTTGACTACTATTATGTTTTGGATCAGGGTCTCCTTGGATTGACCATAATCCTAACCTCACTTTAACTACGCGAATACGACACGGTATAATTGGAATGATTTTGACTACTATTATGTTTTGGATCAGGGTCTCCTTGGATTGACCATAATCCTAACCTTACTTTAACTACGCGAATACGGCACGGTATAATTGGAATGATTTTGACTACTATTATGTTTTGGATCAGGGTCTCCTTGGATTGACCATAATCCTAACCTTACTTTAACTACGCGAATACGGCACGGTATAATTGGAATGATTTTGAATACTATTATGTTTTGGATCAGGGTCTCCTTGGATTGACCATAATCCTAACCTTACTTTAACTACGCGAATACGACACGGTATAATTGGAATGATTTTGAATACTATTATGTTTTGGATCAGGGTCTCCTTGGATTGACCATAATCCTAACCTTACTTTAACTACGCGAATACGGCACGGTATAATTGGAATGATTTTGAATACTATTATGTTTTGGATCAGGGTCTCCTTGGATTGACCATAATCCTAACCTTACTTTAACTACGCGAATACGACACGGTATAATTGGAATGATTTTGAATACTATTATGTTTTGGATCAGGGTCTCCTTGGATTGACCATAATCCTAACCTTACTTTAACTACGCGAATACGACACGGTATAATTGGAATGATTTTGAATACTATTATGTTTTGGATCAGGGTCTCCTTGGATTGACCATAATCCTAACCTTATTTTAACTACGCGAATTGCAGACATTTAGATCTTGTTTCGAGCATTGATTGAGTTGTAGTAAAATAATTTATTTAAGTACTGGACCAAAGAAATATTCAAAATTACTTATATGTTCATACAAGTGTACAATATTGACAAGATTACAAATGAAATTAATTAACTCTTTACTCAACGTTTTACCGGGTTTTTAAACCACAGAGAAATAGTAGCACCTCTGATCTTATAAATAAATAAGTCATAAAATGAGCATGCTAGTGTTTTATTTAAACAATTCCTGACAATAAGTAAGTATGATACCTTGAAAAAGAACTGTAGTTACTATGTAGGTTTTTAGTTAAACATTTCACAACGAGACGATTACAGCTATTTGGCCAATTAAATTAAACCTTATATTATTATTATTTTTTTGTATTACCCTTTATCATTAAACGATGAGGCAGGGGTCTCCACCATACAATATAATATATATTATATTTGTAGTAATTATTGTGCATTTATAATTTAGCTACAAAATCGTTCCTACTTAAAAAAAATAATAAAATTTAGTATAGGGTTGTTTTGAAGGATGTTGAATCCAGAGCCGTCCATAGATTTTTTTAAATCGCTAATATAAATTCTTTGAAATTTACTCTCAAAAACTGACAAAGTAGGGCTTAAAAAATACAGTTTATCAAGATCTACACTTTAAAACAAATAAACACATTGTTATATATTTTTTAGTGGTGGAGTATACAGTCCAGGTGCCTGTTTCGCTAAAACGTCAATGATTAAAGAATTAAACGAAAATGGACTGAAATTCGAAATGGTTTCCAAAAAGGAAATTGATAATAAATAATCTTGTTTTGTACTGCATTTGTTATGTAATTTTTATAAGAGTTTGGAAAGCTTTAATCTTACAGTTTGAGTCTGAAAATTTAAATATGAATGACTTATATTTTTTTAACATAGATTTTATATTTACCATATGTATGTAGTTGTATGTTTTAATAAAATGGTTTTGGGAATCAATGTTTTATTTATTTATATTTACTGATATTACAGAGATGACAGCACAGAGTGATATTTAAAGCTATCATCTGTTGCATTTTGAAATGTTTGGACTATTTTAAGTTATAAATACCTTGGTAAATAAACATTTTGAGTACTGAGATACATGTTGTGGGTTTTGGATCGAATTCTACAAGTAAAAATTCATTTCTCAAATATTTATTAATTCAGGGGTAATCCAGTGAAGAGGTAAAAAAATGACTTTAAAATTAAAATTATTAACAGTAATGGGTTCGGCAACTTTTGACCTCATTTTGTTTATATAGTTTTCGGAGAAAATTAAACAGTATTTTGTTATGAGATCATCGATAATATAAAAAATATACTGTTCCAGACCGGGCCAGTCACTTTTTCAAACAGTTTCCGAATTATCTGTGTTTTCTAAATTTGAATGCAAGGGAAGTGACGAGTATACCAGGGTACTAATTAAATACATAATTTATTGGAAAATATAAGATTTATTGCAACTTTGAACATATTATACATAAATATCTTAAAATCAAATAATACCACACATCAGTGGCGGCTGGTGGATTTTAGGTATATCAATATCTCAATTATTAGATATGGGACCCACACCAAATTTATATGAGTTTATAATGACATTATGCGCAAGCAGAATTTAAATTGAAGTTTGCGAAAAAAAGATAACCGAAACATCGAACATGGAACTGACGACACGGTACTGATGAATGGGATACAAATTTGAGATTATAATTCAGAATTAAGTGTTTTACTGATATTTTTTATTAGTGGATGCTACTTATCAACAAATCACATATAGCCTTATATAAATTAAAATGAAATACCTATATATACGTAAGAAAATAACTACTCACCACAGTACTGAAATTTTGACTGGAAGTATACGTGCATTCACCACAACTTCGCCGCTTGCATTCTTTCAAGATGACTGTCGTGCAAAGAGCGGGCTCTGGGTAATTTTTTACCAACACTTGAGTTAAAACGAGGACTTGACGTTTAAACTTCAATATTTCGCAGGAATTTTGAACTTTAACATTGGACACAGAACTGACGGGTAAAAGTGAGTACAAAGATTATCAATTTTTTAAAAATTGCCATTATTCGAATCTATGATAAAATATGAAAAATACATTATTTAATGTTTTATAGTTTGTAGTGAAATTGAAAAATTTAAGATAAATCTAATATATTTTAAAATAAAATCACTCAAATATTTGATTCAGGAGTTGTGACACGCCAAGGTACTGATATTTATTAAGTTTTTCTACAAACGTGCTTTTGAAAAAATACATTAAAATTGGGTGGAAAAGTTAAAAAAACCTGGATCTTTTGTAATATACTAAAATATTTACATAAAATATTAAAATACCTACTCTATTGACTGATGACATCAGGTAGTCCAACTTTTGTAGAATCACCCTAATGTCTACATGAGTATAAAATTCTTGATTTTTAACCAAGTTTGAAGTCAATTTCTTGTACCAGTTGGGATTTTTTATAAATAAAAAAAACTTGCGTTAATAAAAAAATTATTATTATTTATTTATTTAGGCAAAAAACATTCCTTGAAATAAAGTTAAGAAAACAAATCGACTAGTTTCAAATATATAAACAAAATAAACAGCCTTAGCCTAGCAGAGCCTACTATACTAAATTTGTAGCTTCACCTATGTATATGGGTGAATATATTGAGATGTGACCCAAGTGAAAATGATTATTTTTTATTATTGGTTGTTTCACTGTTAGTCTAGAATGTGGTTTTTGGAAAGCCACCAGGTCTAGTAATAACAGGTTCTGCACTAATGCAAGAATTTTAACCTTCGGATGACCAACCTCTTTTTTATACATGGATGACCAATGGGGGTTAAAAATGACCCCTCCCGATTTTAGTAAACGAAAACATGCTTTCATTATTTTAATGTTATATTTTATATTAAATAATGAAAACAAACATTAGTACAACAAATTTTTATTCCAACTAAACCAAAAAAGTAAAAATATTAGTCTAAACCTAATAAAGGAAGCAAATTTGTAAAAAATGCAGTAATTACCACAAGTATGTTTTTTAATCTTCGAATGTTCCTTGCAGACAAAATGGTTTTTTATCGCATTTCGTTGTAAACTTTCTGTCGGAAGATCGACAGCAAATTTTACATCGGCCACGTTTCTTGGGATTTTCAGCTGGCTCTGCATCTTCAGGATCTTCTGAATATTCTTTTAATACCATATTAATTTTAAAACTACTTTTTTAATGAGAAATATTCGTAATTTTTTTTATGCAAAATATAAAGATACTTGGCATAATAATATAGTCAAATAAAAAAATAATCAGTTAAAAATTAAAAATATTTAAGAGTTTATTCAAGAAAAATATACATTGGGGTCAAAATTTACCCCCCTTGGTCATCCGAAGGTTAAGAAATCATACATTTTGAATATTACAGCCTAACGGAACATAGCTTCACGGAGGTTAGGATTTCGTATGTTTGTTTTAAACATCCCTTTGTATATTTGAAATAAGTTATTGTACCTTTTGACACCTTAATATTTTTAAAAAATACAATTGTACATACATAAAATATTTATAAAAAAAAATCTACTTACTGAGATATTACACTTCAAGGTGAATAGGTTTTTAAATAGCTAATTAATGAACTTAAACTTTTGAATTATAAAACAGCATAACTCATCTGCATATAAATTCTAACTGACCTTCAGGGATCACATGCATCTATAATGTCGTAAACAGAGGTTTTTGCTGTTTAAAATGCATAAAATTTAAAGCACAAACAGATTCACGGAGGATAGAATCAATTTTTGTAACACCTACATAAATGGTTATAAAAATTATTTTTTTTAATCTTTAATAATATGTTATATTTGATTCGATTGCTTTGGATGTGTTTAATTTACTTAGTGAACTGATATTTTTAGTATGCTTTTACTATTTAGTTTTATTAAATATCACGGGGTAACACCATCGGGGGACATTTCGTGATATCCACCCATATACTTTATTGTTTTAAATTTTTAAGTGTTTAAAGAATTTGTTATAATGATTATTAATTTATTTGCGAATATTGCAATTTGTTTTAGTTAAAATTCATAATAGACAAATATACATAATTACTAGTAGTAATTGATTGACCTTAATGAATTTTGCCTTAATTGCTTTAAAGATTTTCTATTTGTATTATTTATCTATTTAGATTCTATCGTAAAGTTTCAAAGGAAAATATATTTTTATTTAAATTTCCCAGTTGCTGATATTTTAATTCCAAAGAAGAGCAAAACTGTTAAAACGAGGAAATTCAGAAAAAGAGAAAAATCACGGAGCTATTAAGTTTTCCGAATGCTTAATGCATTTCATTAAAAAAAGTAAAATTAAACGGGCTTGCATATCCAACAAAAAATATAAATAATTAAATTAAAATAAAACACTTCTTTAGAGAAAATGTTAAAAACAGATTTCCTCTGAATTTTTCTTACTTAACTTTTTGTGAATTTTTATGAACAGGTAATGGTTTTTTGTATTTTTTTTGTTCTACTTTATTCGTTTTCCGCACACTTCTAAGAATTTTTAATTATTATTTTTTAATTGATTTTTTCTACTCCCACCTTTAAAACGCCCTTTATCTTACATGTTTCCATGACACTAAGTGACCTTTTAAATAGGTACACATTGACAAGTTGTGGCTTTATTGCGCTTTAGTCACGGGCTGAAGTTAGCAACGGGTTTTTAGTCACGGTCTGAAGTTAGTTTGAAGTTAGTTGACAGTTGTCAAATGTCATACAATCGTTAAAATAAAGTGCCTTTCTTGTAAAATAATACTAAATGTGAAAATTATTTCATTATCTCAATACAAAAATACAAAAGTATTAAATAGTTTCTCAACGCCAATATTTGAAAAGTTTATATGAACATTGTACTGACCTTTTAATTTCGCCGGCAGTAAACTATAACTTAAATTCGGGCACGGACTCCACTGTAAAGTGCTCATAAAACATGTTCTTTACTTTCACCATTGAGTAAGATGTAGGTAACATCTTACTCAATGCTTTTACTGTGAAAAACTGTCAATTTTCAAGAAATACATTTCGATTTATAACCTTTATAATCTGTAAAATTAAAAATTTGACATTTGACGGTGAAACACAGATTCCCCTATTGTTTAATAGATGGCGCTCTATACAAATTTTTAATTTAAATCATTTTAAGATAATAATAAGTATTTGTCGTAGAAAAAGTATGGTATGCACCTCGTTTATAAACTTTTCTATACACTCATTAATTTAAGCACTCGCTCGCAAGCTCGCTCGTGCCTAAATTAAATTTGTGTATAAAATGGCGTATATCAAACTTGATACATAATATACTATTTTCTACTCTCAAATTAATAGGCTCATTATCGTACATGTTTCCATGACACTAAGTGACCTTTTAAATAATCATTGTCTGAAGTTAAGTACAGGTTTTAAGTCACGGGCTGAAGTTAGTTTAAGTTATGTCATAGAATCGTTAAAATAAAGTGCCTCTTCGTAAAATAATACTAAATATGAACATTATTTTATTACCTCAATACAAAAATACAAAAGTATTAAATAGTTATTTTATTATGCTTGTGTGCTATGTTATTTTATTTTTTTTTGCACCACATATCTCTCTCTGCTTTGTGCGGATTTTAAATTTGTATGATGTCCCAGGAAAATGTGTGCATTATCTTCATTAACTTTGACTTTTACATGTGAATATTTTATATAAATTACTTTTGTCTGCGTTTGTCTTAAAGCTTTGTAAAAATA